CTCGTCCCCCTGTATCTCGGATTTCCTCGCATTTTCCGCGGAGTCCTTCGATACCGGATGAAAAACCGGCAGCGGCGGAAGGGGGTTGAACGTAACTGTCGTCGTCGTCGTCGTCGTCGTCGTCGCCGCCGCCGCCGGCCGCGAGTTTATCGCGAATACTTATTGCGCGCTTTGCGCGCTCGCGATACACCGTATGAATTTATTTTTCGCGGTATGTAAGCGCCATTCCGATTCATTGTTATAGTAGTCGTACAACCCTCCTGCTTCCGCCCCCGCCCCCATCTTTCTCACGACGCGTGTAGCTCGGATTATAAAGTATATAATCCATTTATGGTCTATCTCGCGTGCGCACATTTTTATGTTATCCGCCACGCCAAGCCGCAGCGGCGGGGGCGCGACCGCGCGATAAGGAATAGCACCGTCGCCCTTCATTCCCGCCGCCAGCAGAGGTCCACGTAGTAGCGCGCTCGCTCGAATTTCACCGCGCGACTAATTTATGTTTAATAGGCATATTAAAGTTTATACGCATTCGCCAGGGGAATCTGGCCTGAAGTTGAATCGTAATACGAATACTATAGGGATGTTTGGTAGAGGGTGATCACTGAACCCCAGCATCAAAGAGCGCGCGTTCACGCTGGATTGCCCGCGACTGTATTTGCGCTTTGTGCGAAATATCCGCGAGCGAGCGGCTCGCGATGGCACTATTCGCCCCGGCCCTTCCTCGCGCCTCCTTTCCCCTTTCGCCGCTTGGCAGGGGAATTTTTCGATTTTCGCTGCTGATCGTTTTTCCATTAACGCCGCGCGTAAAGTAAAAATGTCATTGCGTACCTAACTCTGAATATTCTTGTTACTTTTGACTCCTTAAATGCTAATATCTAAACTATTCAACATAGAATGTATGTTTTCAATATAAATATTCTAAAAACTATACATTGCGTATATTTTTTTTTAATATTTGTATTTAAAAGCCAGAATAATAGGAATATCCAGATCTCTCTCTCTCTCTCTCTCTCTTTCTCGGTGCATATCTGGATTTAGTATTTTTACCTTACAGCACATCGGATATTCTCAGCGAAAAACGCAGAATGATTTCGCGACGTACGCAAGTCGAACTAACAGCAAGCAGAGAGATATCATGCGTAATAGCTCGATTGTCCGAAGGACCCGCGAGCTTGAAACACCGCGGATCGAAACCCATTTTTTATTGTTTGGCTTGCTTTTTTATTTACCGCTTTACGTGCGATCGATGCCGCCTCCGCTGCCGCCGCACGTCGTAATATTCACGTGCGCTCGCGAGTTCGCGCGTTCGGATTTTGCGATGTAACAGATTTCGCAATATGAGGGATTTTACATCGCGAGAAATTGTACAGCCCAGCAGATTTTACGGCGAAACAATCGAAAAAATTATTTATTCGTCGGGCGAAATTGCGGCGATCGAGCGGTAACCGCGTCGATGCTCTCTCTCTCTCTCTCTCTCTCTCTCTCTCTCTCTCTCTCTCTCTCTCTCTCTCTCTCTCTCTCTCTCTCTCTCCCTCTCTCTCTCTCTCTCTCACTGTCTTTCTCGCTCCCTGCAGTCGCCCGAATCGGTGATACAAATTTTCGCATCGCAACGTCCGCGACGTATAAACAAACAAGCGCGTGTCTCGACGGAGCGCACCGATGCGACGAATATTTCTCGATCATAGCGAGATATCGTTATTAATCGAATTTCCGTCATCACCCGGCGTAATCCGCGCCTCAGCTCCGCGTGTCCCCTCGTCGCCACCTCCGACGTGCAGGCGAATGGACAGGCGATTCCAGCGCGGAAGAATTATACGGGGGCAATTTTACTCGGATCAAAATTCGGAGCCTCCGTTTCTGCCAGCATTCAATAATCTCCCATGCATATTTCACCGCACGCGCCGTCGAACCTCTAAACGAACTGTAGCATATGACGGAATACGCGCGCGTGTGTTAAAGCGGATTTGTCTCGGCTATGATGAAACATGCAATATGCACGGGGCATGGGACACACGGCGGCGTGTCGTCGCGGATCTCGGAGTTTCCATATTTTCCGTGCGACGTCATCGCGCATACGACCGTTGTAACACGCGATTTTGCCCGGCAACGAACACCCGTCCCTCCGCCTCCGCGTCCCCCTCCCTTCTTCCTGTCCCTTTCCTTCTCCGTACGTCCTCGCGTTTCTTCCCTCCTCCGTATCCGCCGGATATCTCGCGCGATTATCGACATTGACGGCGATTTCGCATCATCGCGATCGTAGCGTCGAGTATCCCCCCCTCCTTTTCCCCTCCTGCGCGAGAAAAGTGCATTATAAGATCGATACACGCCATGAAAGTTCGCGAGCGAGCGAGCGAGCGAGCCTATGTATGCAAATCACCGTCGACCATCATAATCCTATCGGATCATCGGATCGGTGACTATGTGGGTAGAGGGGGGAGGTCGCGAGTTGTAGCCGAACGGAAATTACAACGACGGATCGAATTATAACTCCTCGTGAGCGCGAGGAATCCACTTGGCGGGGTTGCGCCCGCAAACTCATTTCCGCGACTGCAACGCGCCGAGCTGAATCACGGATATGGCGAATGATGCGAAAAGTTTCGCTGCTTGCTCCTCCCCCCCCCCTCTGTCTCTCTCTCACTCACTTGACAAGCATCCGGGAATTGTTTTTCCTCCATCAAGTATCTCTCCCGTTCGAATTTTCCGCCGCTTCTCTGCCCCCGCCGGCGCTTCTTAAGTTTCGCGAGCAAAAGTTGAAATTACGAAACGCCGAACGGGAGACGCAAGACGGAGCTACGAAGGCTGACGTCGCCGACGCTGCCGTTGTCGAGATCCCACGGCGAGAATTCCGCGCATCCATCCTCGACCGTGACAGTCGCGCCCGACTCGGCTGCGATCCCACGGCGCGTCTCGCGCAAACGCAAGCTCGCGAGCGCGTTAATGATTCGTAAAGCAGAGCGATTAGGTTCCCGATGAGCCGCGAAGACTCGAACGGCCGTGAGTGCGACAACACATTTTTCGATCGCGGATGTTTCGATCTCGACGGGACACGAAGTGAAGTAAGAAGTGAATTTCTCAATAAAGAGAACCCGTGTCGCATCACCAATCATTGCGGTGATGATCACAAAAGTAGATAGACATAAATCTCGAATCGATTTTTAGAACAGATTATATAGTATACATATATAATACAAGCAAAAAGAAAACATCGAAAAAATATTCTGCTTGACGAACGATTCATCTCCATTTGAGGTGAGAAAATGAACTAAGGAAATTGAAGCTAATCTTTTTATTGATCTTCGTCGAGGTCGAAGTGAATCGAACCGGGGGAGAGAGCGACAAATTTTTTTCACTTGTTTGGAGGAAACGTCGACAAATGGAAAAATGACGCGACAATCGACCTTTTGCAAAGGAGATGACGGGATCGCGGCGGAGGGTCCAATTCCCGTCGAACGGCCCGATAACATCGCGACATGATCGTTACGTCAGAATCGCCGTGTTCGCGCCGGTGTCGACGTTTTCAGCGCGTGAATTCCGACCGGGCGACGTATGTCGCTCTGTAACGTGTGCATGAATTCCCCATTGAGATTCGCCGGATTCCTCGCGAAATAACGCGGCTAATAGCCGACTCAACGCGACCATCGCGCAGGCGAGACCGCGGTAGCAGATATCAAACTGCCGGAATCACCGTTCCACGGTGTATTGATATTCAACGGGCGTCTGCCTGATAAAGCGTCGAGTGGAATATTCAATCAAGCGTAGTAGTAGCGGGAAAGGCGAGGGGGAAGCGAGAAGAAGCGAAGCAGCGTGACGGTGAGAGGAAGAAGCGTGGGTGGTTGGTGACGGAGAGGCAAAGAGGGAGGGAGGGAGGGAGGGGTTGCACCTTCTGCCGACTAGATGCCGTGCGCCGTGCGACTACTAGACGAGAGAGAGGGGAATGAGAGAGCGAAAGAGACATAGAAAGGAGGAGGGCGGGGGGGGGGGCGGGTTAGGGGAAAGAGCGAGAGACTGACGGTAAAAGGTGAAGGAGGATCACGGGGAACCGTGGATGGCGAGCGGCGAGTGTTGATCGACGCTGCTTGCGCATTCCTGGTGAGGACTAAGGAATAACGTCGCTAAAGCGAAGGTAAACGATTCCTCAAGGCGTCAACGAGTTCGTTCGAGGGATCTCTCCTCGACTCGGAGTAATTCGATATAGCGGCGCCGCGTGCTCCCCCTGATCACGTGGATTCCTTAAGCTGCCGTGGATGTTACCCGTCTCTGTTGCGACGGGGATCGCGAGCAGGATTATCGGTTTGACGGCACGCGCCTCGTCCTTCCGCAGGACGAAAAGTCGCCCGCTGCTGCGAGAGTCTGTTCTGACGTGCGCACGTGGCACACAGTTTTTCAATAAAGAGAACCCGTGCCTCGTGCGTGTTCACCAATCATCATTCATCAGCGGCGATGATCACAGGAGTAGATCGATATAAATATCGAATCAATTTTTAACAGATTAATTGTATACATATAACACGAGCGAAAAGGAAACCCTGAGAATATTCTGCTTGACGAACGATTCATCTCCATTTGAGGTGAAAAATTGAACTAACAAAATTGCACCTAATTTTTTTATTGACCTGCGTCGAGGCTGAATTTCATTTTTGGTGAAAAATGAAACTAAAAAAAATTGAACCTAATTTTTTTATCGACTTTCGTCGAGGCTGAATCTAATTTTTGGTATTTCCTGAAAATCGCATTACATCAGGAGAAGCGGGGATTATTCATTCGCGTGGCGGCCCGTCGCGCTGCTCGATCGAGCGGCAAACTTCGTCGACGTGACGACAAAGTAACAATACTCTCTTTCTTTCTTTCTCTCTTGCGCTTCTCCGGTCACGCAGAGAACGGCAGCGATAGTTGACGAAAACGGAATTTTCCTCTCATGCAGACAACAAGTGCATCCCTCGCGCGCGAGGATAGCTAGTCGAGGAATACTCGAATACGCGAATCGCATGCGAATCGCTTACCTGGACGTCTTTGGTGAACTGGTTGTTGCAGTAGATGTGGACGGCGGAGAATTCCCGTACTTTGTCGAACTCGAACTTGATCTCGACCGGCTGGCTGCGAGTGTCATTGCGCCAGCCTATCCAGCCCTGGTTGGTGCGGTCGTTATCGTAGTAGCCCATCCTGAAGTTGTCAGGTCCTGTTCTGCCGTCCGTCAGCTGACCCAAGCCGCGACGCAGCTCGCCGTCCCAGTGGCCGTCGTAGGTCGCGTCGAAGAATTCCCATCCGTTGCCCCTTTTATCGCCCTGGGGCATCGAATAGGACACCACGCCGTCTGCGGCCAAGGGAAACAAGTCGAGATACTACGTCGACCCTTCCTCCAGCTTCTCTTCCCCTGCCCCCTTCCTCCGCCCGTCCGACCATCGCACTGTCTTCGATTTGTTCGCGAGCCGCTGCCGACCGCCAAGCGCTACTTTACGACGGACGTGCGAGATGTACAGAGATCGCAAAAGTGGCGTAATATAAGTTTCGCGGCGACGCAAGGTGCCTCCTAATAAAAGTTTTAACATTCGCGTCCGGGGAGAATAAGTACGCGCGCGTGCACACATACGTGTATGCACGTATATGTGTATACGCTGACATGCGCGTCGGCGCTCGCTGGATTTTCATGAATTCGCGGGAGAGCGACAGGAGGGGGGGGGGGGGGGGGGGTGTGTGTGTGCTTGAGTTACGGAATTAGTTATATTTATTGTATCAATATTTCACGTCTAATCCGAAAGATATACACGTGCAGGCGCGTCAGATTGAGATTCGCTGTCCTCCCCTTTCCGCACGAATTTTTTATACCTCTCGTGTCTCCCTCCTACGTGGGCGATTTTTGCCGAAACCCGCATGACTCTAGCGCGAGCGCTCTCGCGCGCGTTAACGCGACGTTAACGATGCCGTGTATGCGTGTGCTAATGATTCGTCGTGTTTCCGGGCATTGAGAGGAAGAGAACGCCTCCTCTTATTCGGCGGCCGTGGTTAATTCGATTCCCAGGCGAAAACGGAATTATACGAGCAAGATTTTGAAAAGCAAATTTGCCCTGGCCGCGCTCGCTGGTATCAGGGTTAATGGACAGTCCGGCGGGGTGTACCGGTCCGCGGCAAGTTTCACGAAAATTGGCGAGTGCAAACAGCTTACCGCTCCAGTAACACCCGTAGAGCTCGACCCGCATGCAAACTGTCCGCCTGTGATAGCTGTAGGGCAGAAAACGGATCTTGCTCGCCCACAGAGGCGGCTCCAGCTCGTGCTTGGACTCCAAATACGTGTTCGTGTTAGCGGTTATTACCTGAAAGCACAGAAGCGCCGGTTCGAGTACGGGACAATTTCAGTTTTCGGTCCCGGCGAAGGCGGTGTTTGAGCTTCGCCGAAGACTCGCCGCGCTCGGCGCGTGTCTCATTAGCTCTCTTTCGCGGCGCTGTTACATTAACCCTTTGTTGCGCAAATTTTTCGGCCCAACGTACCCGGCAGAATTTTAGCAGCGAGCAAATCGTAAAGCGGATACATGTTCATCCGGAATTGAAGATTAAATCCCGCGTGCTGTTCAAAGTCCCTCGGGTGAAATTTCAAACGACGGTCGAATCACTCGAATTCGAGCGACTTTACATTTTTCTAGAATCCTCCTTCACTCTGAATCACCGAGCGAATAGTTTTACTCAACATTGAAGAGCCAATTCGATGTACGTTTACACTTTTATTCGGATTTCCTTCAAAAAGCAATTGGTTTGAATTTTCCCTTGAATATCGTTCCGAACTTCAATAACGTATATTTCATAAGAACAAATTTACTTTAGCCAATTAAAACGTTCACCCGTACAGGCGAAGAAAATACACTCAGAGTTGAAGTTAAACATTTAATCTTGCAATTCTTAGTGGTGGATTACTTTTATTATCATCTGACAAATGTCCGCGCTCATTTCGAGTGAGATTTCGCGTCGAGAAATTTAAAAACCACGTTTGCTCGCGATGCAATCATGATCGGAGCGCAAAACACAATCCCCTGGCAAATTTCTCAAAATTTCTCGACATATTTTCCAACCTTTTCGCAACAACCGCAACGAGTTGGTTCCGTCCATTTTTCCACAAACAATAGCCCGAGTCCGAGGCGGTTTTCAACCTGTGGCTACGGGCGCTTCGTTCGTCGGTCGGGAAAACCGCTGCGGGCTCAATAACGCGAAACAACGAAGCGCGTGTGTGCGACAACGAACGGTCGCGAAATAAGGATTTTTCGGTCTCGTCCTGCACCGGCTTCGAGCTCTGCCGATTGCAGCTCGAATGCGGAATCTCGCACACACGCGAAAACAACGAGCGGTTCGCGTTATATTGACAAATCGTCGCGAATACACGTCCTCCCTCTCTTCTGGCCGGCCGGCCGGTTACTTCCACGGTTTCCCGCGGATCTCGATATCGTGTCAACTGGCGGAAACTCATCCACGACGCGTCTCCGCTGCCGCGCGCGAGAGAGACATCAACTCCCCCCTCTGCGAGCCCTTGGCGGGCCGCAAAAAGCGTCGGAAAGCGCGTTACTCTTTCCATCCCTTGTCAGAACGACGCGCTGCTCGATGACATTTATATCGCCCAGACAATGCCTGCGCTTCAGCACGCGGAATACGCGTCGCCCTCCTCCTCTTCCTCCTCCCTCCTGTCCAGCCCGCCATGGCTGTCCCGTTGGATATATCCTGTCACAGAATGGACATCGCGTTCCACGGGATCAGACCAGGGGCTAAGGACTAATTTCACCCTACATTCCACTGCGTTAGGTCCGACAGAGAGGCGGCGGGCGCAGACAGAAGCCTTGAGCCAGGACGGCCGCACAGGGGATGAAGCGAGAGAGATGGCGAAGGGAGAGCAGCGAGAGCTCGCGGGAGGGTAACGCGAGGGTAACATGAGGGTAACAGGAGCCAGAGAACGAACGAGCGAGAGAGAGAGAGAGAGAGAGAGAGAGAGCGAGAGCGAGAGAGAGGAAGGGTTGAGTTAAACGTCCGTCGCCCGCATTCCCTGATCCTCCCCCAGTCGACGTCGACGTCGACGTCGTGGCGGCGGCGAACGTGTTGCCGTCGTTGACGACGTCTCTCTCTCCTCGAGCGCGCAGGGTTGCGCGATGGTGCAATATTGATTCCGCGCGTTGTGGGTTTATGAATAAAATAAGCGGTTTATCCGTCGGCGGTGTGTGCAGGGTGGCGTACGGGTGGGCGCGGAGGGTACGAGGCGCGCGGGCGGGTGGCGGCGGTCCCACGGGATCACGCGAAGTGGCGTTGCCCATGGTGAGTAGATAGCCAGGTACGTTTATGTATGTAGGTACACACGAGATGTGTGCGTGCGCGCGCGTGTGTGTGTGTATGTGTATGTGTGCAGGTATACACACATGCGTGTGCACACAGATACGCGTGCTTGGCGGTACTACGTGGTACATATTATACAGGGTGTATCGGAAGTCGCGCGCTTTCCCTGTCGTGACTACATAAAGTCCCCGACGGCGACGGCGGCGGAGACTCGAGAAGAAGCTGACGTCTCTTCAGCGCGGATCCGATGGCGGGCTTAATTACCGGGTTATTCGACGGTGAAAATTAAAGCGAGGCCTGGCGGCGGTGTAAATAGATAATAACAGGATATTCGTCCGTCGCGCTGCGCCTTGAGCGCCGGGGATGTTTAACGGCGAAAATTGGAACGTCACGATTAAGCACTAATGGCGACCCGGCCGCTAGTTTGTTCCCGCGTCGAGGAACGCGCGATTCCGAAAGACGTGACTGACGGATCCATCACTCTAAAATGGGCTGGAAAAATGTACGCGCCGTCCTGTTTTTAGTTCCGGTTGCCTGAACTACCGGAAATTTGATTTCACGAAATGGCACGGTCTAATTTATCTCTTTCCATTTCTGTTTTCATTTCACATTTTTACATATATATATATATATGTGAAAAAAAAATATATATATATGCACGCATTTACAAAATTTAAAATTGTTACAAATGTAACAATCCCCGTTTTTTATTTTTTTATTTCGTTTGTTCTTATCTTCTTACCCGTTTCTTTCCCTTTCCTACTTTTATAAATTGTATTGTAATATGTAAAATTTTATCTTCTTAACATGCACCTCACGTTCTTGCAGGCTTGACCCTAGAATGTTTAATAAACGCTCTTATCTATTTATCTCTTTATCTCTATCTCTCTCCCTTTCTCTCCCGATACACCCTGCGCACAGACGTTGTGCCGAAGGTAGGGGTAAACGACGTACGCCGGTTCTCGTAGCTGAACCCCGTGGCGCTCACACATCCACGACCACACACGCACACACGCGAGCGCGATTCCACCTGTGTTGAGCTACGAGTCAGCTCACAGCATCACACACACACACACACACACACATACACGCACGCACGGAACATATACCTAGGCCGAGTCGCGTGACGGAGCGTTTTGCGGCAAGCACGACGCATTCCGCGCACGTCTCACGGCCGAACACACGTTCTCCTAGCTTTAGCCACCTTTTACCACTTTTCGGTATATCCATACGCCGACCTCGACTGCTACGCCGGTCGCTATTAATGCCCGGCCGCGAAAGGTGCGCCGTTCAAGCGCGGTCCTTCGGGCGCCCTTACGAGCTTGCTGGTACCGCTACGTACGTGACGTTCGCGGTGACCTCCTTGCCGGGCTATCCTCCGAGTCACCCCCGGCCATTCCCCCATCCTGTTTCGTGTGTTTCGAGTTCAACTTTAGTTCCTATTTCGCCGATGGCGTTTCTCGCAACCCTCGTCTTTAAACTTGAGCCCTTATGCGCCTCGAAATTTTTCGGCAGAACCATTCGCGCCCCTTCAGACCGACCGGTTCAACACGCTTTATTCTTTCCTTCTTTCTTTTGCTTTCGTTCGTTTGCTCTCTTTCTTCTCCTCGAGTGAGGGCACACACACACACACACACATAGCGGGGAGTTCAATTACCAAGACGTAAAAGCGTTTCATGGGTTTCTCTCTCCGGCCCACAACCCTTCCTCTCACCCTTCTTTCGTCCTCTCGCTTTTTCTCTCCTTCGAGAAGCAGACACTTCGAAAGTACTCCCCAAGGCGCGCCCTTACCACCTTACCAACGGATAGCTTACTGCACCCTGGGTGAAGAATCCTCCCTCCTCTACCTATCCGGGGGTCGATTCTTTCTCATTTCACGGCAACCAGGGACCCATTTTCGCCGCGCGTTATGTTGCTGCCAGTTCTCTCCTCTCCCCCCCCCTCTCTCTCTCGCGCGCGCGCGCGCGCAACGGCGCAGCGTTGAGATCTTGCAGCTCTCTGACATTTAACTGTCTGTACGACCGGGCTTTAAAGGGCTGCTTTAAGTGCTCGCCGTTGCATCTTCGACTTTAACGTGTTACGCTTACCGCGGAGGAAAAAGTCGAAATCGAAAGGCGGACACAAAGTGCGCAGATAATCAGAGACGATCGCGCATTTGCGAAAGTGCGCTTTACATCACGCGAGGGTCGCGAAGTGAGATTCTCGAGACACGTTAAAAAAGTCGCTTTAAAATATCGAGTTACTCGAGCGCGCTGCTCTCGTCCACTGCCAACAGCCCGCTATCAGAGTGACTCTTGGTCACTTGTGACCGGTCATCCAATTAGAATTCGCGCGAAATTACACGAACGCGCCGGTGTTGTTGCGAAAGTGCATCGCGTAGGGAGATTCGAGGGATTCCGAATAAACGAAAAATATCCGGGACGCAGAGACGACGACGACGACGACGACGGCAACGCGCACGAAAGCGAAGTTCGAGCGAGCACCACCCTGTATAGATCGTCGTCCTTCCCTCCCTCTCTCCTACGCTATTTGCCGCACGACTGCTCCAAGGTATATTTACAGATGCGCGGAAAAATTGAAATGGCCAACCCTCGCGTCGCGCGATCGCAAAAAATTCCGCGAGAGCAACGCTCGCCTGACTCTCTTCTCGCCGTCGCCCGTCCCGCCCCCTCCCCCTTTACACTCTTCCTGTAAACAGTGTCTGAAGTTAAAAAGTTTATAACCGCATCCGGCATCCTCCAAGTGCGCTTCGATCGTGACGTCATCGGGGATGTATATTTACGAGATAGAGTCGCGCGCGCACCCCGTAAACCGCGCGTGCGGCTATTGCGATTTGAAGGAGCCGTCGCGATAAAGTTCCATCAAGAGAGCCGTGCCGCATCCCCTCTCGACTCTTTCTACATTGTGCGCCATGCTGCCACCGCGAGGCGCTCGACCTCTCGCTTGCTTTTCGCTCTTCCCCGGATGCCCGGTCTCGCGAGAAAGTGCCAGCTGCATAATTTCGCGA